GGTCTGGGGACGACGTTTTGGAGGGTTCTCCCACGCGGGTCTAAAACTTCTCGTCTGGGAGGGGCCTCGGCTGAGCCTCCGGGTGCTTCGAAGAGCCTCCTCTGGAGGCCTCCAGGATGCTCCAGCGGCGGCGGCGACGGCGGCGACGCCCGCAGCGACGACGACGGCGGCGGCGGCGACGACTTCGGCGGCGACGGCGGCGGCGACGACAGCGGCGGCTGCGGCGGCTGCGGCGAGCACGGCTGCGCGTGGTCTCCTGAGGGTCCACCCGAGCGGAGAACGGCCGCCCGACGGACGGATGCGGTGCCGGCCAGCCTGTGCGGCGGGCGCCTCCCGGCCTCCTCCAGGCCCCCCCCCCTGGGAGCCCAAGATGCATCAAGGATGTCGCAGGGGAACAGGGGAAGGAGGATTACAAAGCTTCCTATAGGCTTGAGGGGTACCTAAACCAATCTGGAGGGACACAGCGGTCATCTGCGAAGAACTGGAGACTGTGGGACAACTTGCAGCAACAAAAACATGCTGCCGAAATCCAGCACACGACCGATAACGGGCGGAGGAGGGAAAGCGGAGTAGGGAGGAGTATTCGTCTTAGTATGCTTATTATTATCATTCTTATCATTATTAGTAATATTATTAGTATTATTATTATTATTAATAATAATATTAATATTATTATTATTATTGCTATTAGTATTATTATGATTATTATTATGATTATTAGCGTTATGATTATTATTATTATTACTATTATTATTATTACTAGTATTACTACTATTATTATTATAATATTATTATTATTACTACTATTATTATTACTACTATTATTAAGATTATTGTTAATATTATTCGCATTCTTATTATTTGTAGTATTAATATACTTCGTCTTCGTATTATTCGTGTTCGTCTTATTCGCCGTTGTCGTATTATTATAGTATACTGTTTCGTATTAGTATTATTCGTCTTCATATTGTTGTTATAATTATTCCTCCTCCTCCTCCTCCTCCTCCTCCTTCCCCTCCTCCTGTACCACCTTCCCACCCTCCATCTCCTCCATTTCCTCCTCCTCCATCTCCTCCCCCTCGCTCCTCATAGACCTCCCTACACCGCCTGCTCATCCTCGTCCTGCTCCTCATCCCTCCGCCGTTTCTCCTACTACTCCTGCTGGCTCACTGCTTTGCTTCGCGTCGCACACGTACCGCCCGCTCCCTCCTCCCCGACGCCTGCGGGGACCTGCATGAGCTCTATCGGCGTCTCGCGGAAGAGCACCTCAGATGCAAAGCGGAGGAGGCTCCTCTAGGGGAAATATGTGGACCCCTATCGCCGACTTCGTCTTGTTTCCAGATGGATCAAACAATTGGGGCACAACTCGGGGATATACGACGGAGGGGGGTGCATCTTCGCTAGAGGTGCGTCCGATTAGTCCCCTGAGGTGTATCTCCGAGGTGCCCCCCTATGCTGAGCGGCCGAAATGTTCGGGCCGACCTCGGGGACTGGGAGCGAGGCATCGCCCGCGATCCTCCTCTCCAAAAACGACTGCAAAACAAGCGCAAGACTCGGCTGCACGCGAATGACCCTCGGCCGCAGGGGGGAGGAGGGGGGCCCAAATCCCAGCGAGCCGGCCAGTGCAGGGGAGGGCCCTGGGGACCTGCGCCAGAGGCCCCTCTGGCGAAGGGTGCTTCTTACGCGCAGCCCTCCCAAAAAATCCGATCGAGGAGAGCCGGGAAAGCCGGGGATGTCCGAGAACCCGCGAGCCTGGGGCATGCGACGCCCGCCGTGGCGCTCTGGGAATCTCCAGAGCGCTCCCCGAGCTGAAGCCTCGCACGCAGGGCTTCCGGGGGCGGGGCAGACGAGGTCTCCAGGTGGATGCGCTCGTGCTCGAAGCTCATGAACAGCGCCCACATCGGATGATCCCAGGTGACCTTCAGTCGGGGGGGGAGCCCGGCCGAACGAGAGGGGAGGGGAAGAAGGGCAGGGAGGAGGACAGTGCGAGAAAGGAGGGCACAAGGAGGGCGGCTTTCGACGGTGTTCGGGCATCTCTGGTTTCTAGAGGGCTCCAGGGGGCTGCGCGGGCCCCAGGAGGCAGGAGAAGGGTGGAGCATGCACCGGGAGGGAGCAGATCGGGAGGGAAGAGCAGAGATGCTGGGGCGACAAAATCCCCCCTCTCTCCTCCTGGTTCGCTTGCTCGCTGTCTAGAAGAGCTCGGGCAGGAAGCCTGCAATCTGGAAAAGGGTCGAAAAATAGAGGGGTACAGGACAGAACCCTCGCCCGCAGTGAGTGCCACTACGGGTATCCCCCCTACCCCAACGTCTGCTCCTCCTCCCCAACGGCGGCTCGAGGAGGCTTTCCAAGAAGGCGAAGATGGCCCACTGGTTTCCATGACGCCCAAGATTCAGGACTGCGTTCCAAGTGGAAAAGATGGCCCTGTGTGGTCTCCACCACGGCTTAGATGGCTTCCAAGACGGCCATGATGGCCCCAAGACGAACCAGGAGGCCCCCAAGACGCCCCGAGAGGCCTTCAAGAGGACTCAGGGGGGCCCAGAGATGCAGTCACTGATTGCCTAGAAACTGTTGAGGGGTTTCAGCGATGGCGCCTCGAGCCACGACGGCCCGAAGGCATCCAATATTGCCTCCACAAACCATCCAAGACCGCCCAAGAGGCCTCCAAAAGGGCTCAAAGATGTATCGAAAGGCCATCAAAACCGCCCCCGAGACGGCCGAAATGGTTTCCAAGACGGACGAAATCCACAATACGGCCTCCACGACGGGCCAAGAGTGCTTCCAAAACGGTCAAGATGGCCCCAAGACGGACGAAGATGCCCCCAAGTCGCCCTCAGAGGCCGCCAAGAGGACCCCCAGGTGGGCCCGAAGATGAAACAATCACCGATCGCCCATAAGTTGACGAAAGGCTTAGCGATGGCGCCTAATTACTGGAGCGTTCAGACCCATCACGGCCAAAAAGGCATCCAGGATGGCCCAAGACTGCCCAAGAGGCCCACAAGAGGGCCATAAGACGGAGTCCCCGAGACGAGCCCACGAGGGCCTCGTTTAAGCCCACGAGACCTCACACAGACTTCCCAGCGATCCCCGAGACGGCCTCCGAAGGAGTCCGAAGGCATCGGACGGCCCAAGAGCGCCCTAAGACGGTTGGCCCCAAGGCCTCGAGAAGCACACCCCGAATGCTCCCAGGAGGCAAGCAGAAAAAACCCTGGGACCCCTCCACCGACGCCTGGAAACGACAGGTCCATTTCGCGCGCCCCGCGCGCAGGCGGCGCGCGGCGGGAAGCCCCACGAAGGGGCTCGAGCGATCCCACGAGGCCACCGAGAGGGGCCGAGCTGCCCACGGCCCCGGGCACGGTGGCTGCGTGCGAGCGGTGTGTGCTCCCGGGGGACGGCCGCCCCAGGCCCGCCCAAGGCTGTCGCCCACGCGCTCCGGTAGGAGCCGCACGGAGCAGCAGCAGGAGAGGAGGGGCCAGACGCAGTTGGACCCGGGCCAGGAGAACACCCCTCAATGACATGACTCGACGGCCAGAAGAACCAGAACATCTGAGGGTGCCCGCCACGGGATGCGCAGGAGCATCCAACGAGCACGAGAGACACCAGGGTACCCTGACCTGACAGACCTCGATCTTACACCTCGGCCCGACTGTGACATGGACCACAAAGAGTCTTCCCGAAAGCGCCCGTGGGCCGCCTCGTGTTCTTCCGTTGTGCACGCTGGGCTCCCGACGAGCTCTATATATATACACTTATATATAAATGAATAAATAAATAAATCAATTAATAATTATAATAAAAACAAAAAAAACGCGAGCCAGACGCTGCGACCTCCTGGCGCTGCTCGTGGCGTTGCGGCAGGCGTTTCCGGGCCCGCCGCTGCGCATCTGTCGGCCGGCTCCTCGCCTTCCCTGCCATCTCCGCTCTCGCTCCTCCCGTTCCTGCCGCCGCCCGCTCCGCCCGCGCCGCGCGCCGTGCGCGCGGAGCCGAAGACGCCAACACACGCCCCACTCCACGCGGGTCTGTGGAGGGGCCCCAGGACACACAAAAAAATACACAAATCAAAACATTCCCAATAGTTTCCCATATTTTCTAAGCTGTTGTCATCCCCCCACACTTCCCATATTTTCCCATATTTTCTGGGAGTCGACGATTAATTGTGTCTGTGTGTTTTTGTTCCCCTCCTGAGTCTACCTCTCCGCGCGGAGCAGGCCCGGAGGCCACGAGACGGCCCAGCAGCGACGACCAGCGCAGAGCAAAAGGACCGTGGAATAACAGTTGGGGAGGGCCGCACGCAGGGGGAGGGGACAGGAGGCCATGTGGTAGACGGCAGCGTCAAACGGCGCAATCAACTGATCTGAAAGCGATAAGAAGGTAACGTCCAGAATGCAACAACAAATGTGTTGCGTTTTTAGCGCTGGACCTATAAAAGTGCTGGGAAAAGCCAACCCCCTGACGGAAGAACTGTTAGAAACGCCCAGGGCAGGTGTAAGAAGAGCCAAGACAGAGAGGACGATGAGGAACCAAGTGGACGATCAGCAGGAGGAGGACAGAGGATGCCGTGGAGCGGCTCCTCATCGTGCGCGCAGCCCTCTCATGAAGCGAGTGAGAGAAGGAGCAGCAAAGCAGGAGCACGTACGGGGGAGGAGAGGCGGGTCCAGATCGTGAAGTCCCGCGCATGCCACGAGGAGCAGGAGGGAGGGAGGGAGGAGGGAAGGAGGACGAGCGGGAGGAGCGGTGTTCCTTCGCCACGCTCGGCACACGTCAACAGCCAGCACATCCGGGTCTTGCCGGCTCCTCCTCTGCCTCTGATCCTGCTCCAGCTGTTTGGATCCCGCCCCCTCCTCCTCCTCCTCCTCCACCTCCTCCTCCTCCTCCTCCTCCCACATGCTCGCGGCCCTCTGTCCATCGTCGACTGCACATGTACATTCCCCGAGCCTGCTCGCCTTGGTTCCGTCCTCAAGCGCTGGATGTGTCGCGATAATGTCGCTGACGGTCTTGTACACCTTCCGCCAGACTAAGCTATTCCAGACTCACAAGACAAAACAAGAACAGGGGGCAGCATTTGGTTACTGGATGGGAAGGTGCGGACTCGCAAAGCGTTCTTCCAAACAGCAGCGCAACGTATCCCGTCTCACAAGCGTGATGTAAGTATACCGAAAGGCAGAAACAACCGTATTCACATTTCCACACAATGGCGCCGTCAGTGCAAGTGCCGTGGCTTCATGCACACAACTCATCGTGTGGACAGCAGCAGCAAAAGCAGGGAGAGCGAAGCAGGCGGGAGGAAGAGGAAGTGGAAGAGCAGAGAGCAGCGCGGAGAGACAGAACAGCGCGCGAGAGAGAAAGCGGCAAAGCAGGAAGGAGGGAGACAACGTCAGGCAGCACGCAGTCACACTGGGACGAGAGGCGAGGGAGCGACAGGCCGAACGAAACACCTCAGAAACACGGATGACCTGCCCCGCAGGAGAACGGTGCGAAATCGCGAGGCTTTCGTACATCATCAGGCCGTCGGAGGGGGTTCGGGTGACATGCGCCACACGTAAGGGGGAGATGAGGGAGTATGCTTCCCTTGGCTGACGCGGTCCGATTTGCATCACCCCACCACGCCACGCCTCCATGCACCACAGCTGCCAAGGTGCGTGGAGGTGGTGAGCAAAGGAGGACGCGGAGGGAGACCTGAGGGGAGGACGGAGACACTCTGAAACACTGGTTCAACCTCGGCAATCCATGCTAGCATACATCTTGCGGCACATCCGCTCCGACCCGCCCGGGCGCCCCCACGCTCCCCAGCAATGGCCACTCCGGTGCATGGTCACTGTTGCGCGTAGCCGACAGTGCGGAGAGGTAACATGCAGGAGAAACGCCAGCCGTCCAGGTCGTTGCTGCGCGGCTGGCCGCCGCGGCCAGGCGAGAAAAGGATGGGTGTGTTAGGGGGGCGAGGAGTGGAGCCAAGGCGGTTTGGAGGCGCGACGAGTCGCGATGCGTCCGATTCTCGAGGGATGGAGCCAAGGGGAGCGGGACGGAAGGAAGAACAATGTTGTTCGATCCCGCCCAAGGCAAAATTGAACTGTTTAACACATTACCTTCTTCTGGGCCCTTTGACTCATGGCAACCTGTGACGAGCCTGGGGGCATGCTGCAACTCTGTCAACTGTTGTTTGTCGTGTCTATTCAAACGAAACTTGCAGACGTCTGCCAAGGTACGAACAGCTTGTGTGGCCCCGCAACCACACGCAAGACAGACTGTGCTCCCCAACTCCTTGTGAACATTCCACGGTATGGGAGCTGTTCAAATCTTTGCCGTTCACAGTGCTCTTGGTGGGCACCATCATTAACCCCTTAAACAAGCTCTTGTGGCATGGGGTCGCTGAAATGGCATCTGACCTGGGAACCGATTCCCATGACTGGCTGATGGGCTGCGAGCGCGAGCTGGCTATTGATCTCGCGCCTCTTGGGACGGAGCGTGGCCTCTGTCGGCTCTCTGTTTCCATCTGCGTCGGTCGACACTAGAAGTAAGTGGCACAGGTGCCGACAGACTTGGAATGCTATCGCCTACGCGTGGGACCTGCTCTTTCTGCGATGCACTGGCACTCGGAGGTTCTTGGCCCACTGTTTCGTAATCCTGTCGGCCATCTGATTCTAAAGAAAAGACAAACGGGTCGGCTCCCTGGTCGCTCACATCATTCATTGATATCCGCCGATCCGGCGTGTAAGTTGACGGGGGGGGTGGGCCGGGGTGGCTCTGCCGGGGTAGGGGGGGGGGTCTTCCACAGATTGGGTTCGGTTGGTCGGGGTTCGGTTGGCCAAAACGGATCCAAGCGTTGCCAAGAAGCCGCCAAGACGGGCCAAGACGTTTCTGGATCGCCCAAAAATCGATCCAAGACGCCGAACATGAACCCCGACAGCCCAAGAGGCCGCCAAGACGCCCCCAGAGGCCCCCAAGAGGTCTTCCAAAAGGGCCCCGACCGGCCAAAATCATCGATTCCCCTTAGGGAACCTACGTTTTTAGCATGTTCGCCTCTTGGGCCTTCACAGTGTCCACAACGGCTCAAGGGGCCCTCAAAAAGGCTCCAAGACGGCCTAAGAAGGGCTTACGCAGGCCCAGGAGGCCCCCAAGACGGCGCAAGAGGGCTCCAGGACGGGCCCAAGAGGCGCCCAAAAAGGCTCCAAGACGGCCCAAAAAGGACCCAAGACGGCCCAGGAGGCCCCCAGGAGGCCCCAAGACGCCCCCAAGAGGCCCCAAAAGGCCCCAACTGGCCCCCAAGGACCCCCCAGTGTCCAAAACGGCTCAAGGGGCCCTCAAGAAGGCTCCAAGACGGCCTAAGAAGGGCTTACGCAGCCCCAGGAGGCCCCCAAGACGGCGCAAGAGGGCTCCAGGACGGGCCCAAGAAGCGCCCAAAAGGGCTCTCAGCATCGCCACCACCAACACCACCACCACCACCACCACCACCACCACCACCACCACCACCACCATCATCATCATCATCATCATCATCATCATCATCATCATCATCATCATCATCATCATCATCATCATCATCATCATCATCATCATCATCATCATCATCATCATCATCATCATCATCATCATCATCATGATCATGATCATGATCATCATCATCATCATCATCATCATCATCATCATCATCATAATCATCATCATCATAATCATTATCAGCATCAGCATCATCATCATCATCATCACCACCACCACCACCACCATCATCATCATCATCATCATCATCATCATCATCATCATCACCATCATCATCATCATCATCGTCATCGTCATCGTCATCATCATCATCACCACCATCATCATCATCATCACCACCATCATCATCATCATCATCACCACCACCACCACCACCACCATCATCACCATCATCAGCATCATCATCATCATCATAATCATCAGCAGCATCATCATCATCATTATCATCATCATCATCAGCATCAGCATCAGCATCACCATCATCACCACCACCACCATCATCATCAGCATCATCATCATCATCGTCGTCACCATACTCATCATCGTCATTATCATCATCAGCAGCAGCATCATCATCAGCATCATCGTCATCATCATCATCGTCATCGTCATCGTCATCGTCATCGTCGTCATCGTCGTCATCGTCGCCATCGTCATCATCATCATCACCACCACCATCATCACCATCATCAACAACATCATCATCATCAGCATCATCATCATCATCGTCATCATCACCATCATCCGAAGCGCCCTGGATCGGCGGCACTGGCCGGAGGCCATTTCAATATGACTCTCCACCCCGGCCAAAGCAACACCTCTCCCGGAGTGCTCTGCAGGGAGGTCCTTGACACTCTGCCACGCGTCGAGGCTTGATCTGGGAAGGCCTCACAGCGGATCTCACTGAACTTTTCACCTCATGCGATGAGCCCGGTACAGAAAACCCATCAGCAACAGGGGGGGCAGCTTTCAGAAACTGCAAAAAGCCCAGAGCTTCCCCCCGTTGACGACTGTCCCCGACCAGTCGCATTCCCGAACTCCACGGCGCGCACCGTGACAGCCCTTTGGTCTGCACAGACCCCCTTGGCGAAGACTTTTGAAAATAACCCAGGACCAGGCGACCCCGCGGATAGTTGGGCCCTGCGAGTCAGGCCCACCGCTGACATCCCGCCCTCCACGCACAAAACCATCAACCACCGCCCCATGGAAACCACCCCCAAAGGCCTGGAATTCTTCACCTTCCAGCGGCGGGGGCACGGCGGCCCAGCTACGCGGCGTCAGCCCACGTAGCCAAACCCTCGGGCTACTTCCCCGGTCAGCTAAGGCCCCCCTGCGAAAGGAGCCCGAAACCTTGGAGACGCGACTGCCCCCAGGACAGCCCCAAGCTCTGCGCGCGTCGCACGCGGAAAACTCACCGCCACCTTTGCAGGTGCTGCCCCGAATCAACTCGCACCCCTGGGGCCTGGCGCGCGGCCAGCTATCGCCCGCGGGCGCGGCCCGCAGAACTCCTCCCCCATTCGAACTTCCCTTTCTTAACCAGCCGCTTCAGCTGGAGCTCTCCGTAGCAATGTTGGCTCAAGTTCGAAACCTTGCCGCGAGGCTTCGAGCTTGTCCGCAGCCGTGCGGCAGGCTCGGACGGTTCTGGCGCGTGTGCTGCCCACCGAGCCGCACGGGCGCGCCATGGGATATCTCGTCTGTCTCGTCTGTCGCGATGCTGGCAAGACTTCGTGGATCCCCGACACCAACCCCCGCCAGAAGTGTAAGTTCTGCAGTACTCCTTTTCCTGGCCGCTCCAAAGGACAGGCCCCAGGAAAGCATGGTCGCAAAGGCGACAAGGACGGCAAAGGCAGGAGCAAAGGCAGTGGCAGTGAGCGTGTCTTGTCTCCTCCCCGTGCTCGTTTCCATGATCGCCATGTTGATGACGGTACTGCCACCCCCCCAGTTCGGTCTTTGGATGAACGTCTTCAGGCTCCATTGGATGAGGAAGTGCAGGATAGATTCGGGTATGACTCTGGCGACGACGGTCTTGGCAGCGATCGTGGTTTTTGGGCTGATTACGTCGACGACGTCGTTGATGGCGGCTGTGTCGACACCAATGGCAATGAGCTCTCGGTTACGCAGATTGATCAGATTATCAAGGCCCTTTTGGGCCAGCTGGATTCCCTTCGCCTGCTTCCGCCCACCAGGTATGTTCGTGATCAGGTCTCGGGTCTCCAGGATGAGGTGCAGCATCTCCGCGCACAGAAGTCCGACTTGCTTACCGTTCCCCAGAAGCGTGCGTTCTATAAGCAGCGTCATCACTGGGCCAGTAAGAAGTTTGACAAGATCTCTAGCCAGATCCGTGAGTTCGATCGAAAGATCCTGGACCTTCAGAGCGAAAGGGGCGCCCTCTGCTCTCGTCAGGAGCGGGTCGCCCAGGACATGGCTATGTGGCAGTCTAAGTTGCAGGATCTCCCGTCAAGCGAGCCAGTCCCTGAGGGTTTCACGCCTCCAGATTTATCAGCCGTGG